TGAATATTCTAAAAGGCAACTTAGTAGCTCTTGTTTTTTTTTTTTTTTTTTTTTTTTTTTTTGAGACTGTGTCTTGTTCTGTCGCCCTGGCTGCAGTGCAGTGGTGTGATCTCAGCTCACTGCAACCTCCACCTCCCACGTTCACGTGATTCTCGTGCCTCAGCCTCCCAAGTAGCTGGGATTATAGGTGCCCGCCACCATGCCTGGCTAATTTTTGTATTTTTAAGTAGGGATGGGGTTTTACCATGTTGGTCAGGCTGGTCTTGAACTCCTGACCTCAGGTGATCTACCCGCCTTGGCCTCCTAAAGTGCTGGGATTACAAGTGTGAGCCACTGCGCCCGGCCTTAGTAGCTCTTTCTAAGGATTTGATATAATTTATTTACCTGATCTCTGATTTCAGGTCAGTTAACTTTCCCCCTTCAATTTGTTGCTATTATTAGTTCTACAAAGAGTATTGTTGTATATATACCTTTATTTACTCAATGATTATTTCTTTAGAATGAAATTTCTAGAAGTGGAATTGTTGGATAAACATAATATTTTTCTCTGTTCTTCTCTGGAATGATTGTATCTGGGTACCTGTTCAGTGTTCAGCCAGTCACAAATTTGGTCTCCAATTTAGTATAGATAATATTGTTTATTGAGTACTATTCTCTTTTTTTTTTTTGAGACGGAGTCTTGCTCTGTTGCCTGGGTTGGAGTGTAGTGGCCGGATCTCAGCTCACTGAAAGCTCCACCTCCCGGGTTTACGCCATTCTTCTGCCTCAGCCTCCCGAGTAGCTGGGACTATAGGCGCCTGCCACCGCGCCTGGCTAGTTTTTTGTATTTTTTAGTAGAGACAGGATTAGCCAGGATGGTCTCAATCTCCTGACCTCGTGATCCGCCCGTCTTGGCCTCCCAAAGTGCTGGGATTACAGGCTTGAGCCACCGCACCTGGCCTATTGAGTACTATTCTATAGCACAGTCTCTGCTAAACACTTTATAAACATTGTTCCATTTAATTCTCACCACCCTGATAGTAGTAGTATATGCATTTTAGAGGAGAGAGCACTGAGGGTTAATAATAACTTTTCTCAAGTCAGCTAACTAGTAAGTGCTCAAACCTAGGTTTTCATCCCTTCACAGTCTGTGTGCTCATTCATGAAGTAGCTGTATGGAAAAATTAACTTGCCTGGACTGTTTGAAGAAATTAGTTCATATCAGAAACTTTTTGTTTGTTTGTTTGTTTTGTTTGTGACAGAGTCTGGCTCTGTTACCCAGGCTGGAGTGTGGTGGTGTGATCATGACTCACTGCTTCCTCAATTTCCCAATCCCCTTGTCTCAGGCTCCCAAGTATCTGGGACTCCCGGCTAGGTTTTGTATTGTTTTTGTAGAGACAGGTTTTCACCACGTTGCCCAGACTGCTCTCAAACTCCCAGGCTTAAGCAATCTGCCTGTCCCCGCCGCCCAAAGTGCTGGGATTACAGGTGTGAGCCACTGTGCCCAGCCTAGAAACATTATTTACTCTCTCCTGAAATTCAGTCACAAGGATTTAAAAAAAATTTTTGATTAAAAACAGTTTTAAAAAATTTAAACTTTTTTGATATAGGATCTCTCTCTGTAGCTTAGGCTGGAGTGCAGTGGGGCAATCATAGCTGACCACAGCCTCAACCTCCTGGGCTCAAGTGATCCTCCCGAGTAGCTGGGACTACAGGCATGTGTGCCATTGTGCCTGGCTAATTTTTTAGCTTTTTAAGAGATGGGGTCTTGCTGTGTTGCCCAGGCTGTTCTGAAACTCCTGAGCTCAAGTGATCCTCCTGCTTTAGCCTCCTGAGTCTCTGGGATTACATGCATGAGCGATGAGCTACCGCAGCTGGCTCTGATTTTAATTTTTTAAATTGACAGATAACATTGTGTGTTTTTATCATATATAAAATGATGTTTTGAGGTATATATACATTGTAAAATGGTTAAATCTAGCTAGTTAACAAATGCATTACCTCATATAGTCATCATTTTTGTGGTGATAACATATAACATGTACCCTACATTTTTTTTTTAAGAATGCAATATATCGTCATTAACTGTTGTCACCTTGTTGTATGCTATATCTCTTGTAATTTATTTCTCCTATCTAACTGTAGTTACATATTTTTTGACCAACATCTCCCTGTCCTTCCCATCCCTAAACAGCCTCAGACCCTGGTAGCCACCATTCTACAGTCTGCCTCTATGAGGTCAACTTTTTAAGATCCCGTGTATAAGTGAGACCATGTGATATTTGTCTTTCTGTGCCTGGCTTATTTTAATTAACATAACCCTCCAGGTTCATCCATGTTGTGGGCAGATGGCAGAATTTCCTTTTTCTTTAAATGGCTGAATAGTATTCCAGTGTTTATAAAGCCACATTTGCTTTATCTGTTCATCTGTTAATGGACACTTAGGTTGATTCCAGATCTTGATTATTGTGAATAGTGCTACGGTAAAAATGGGAGTGCAGATAGCTCTTCAACACACTGATTTCATTTCCTTTGGATATATGCCCAGTAGTGGGATTGTTGGATCATATGGTAGTTCTATTTTTAATTGTTTGAGGAGCCTCTATACTGTTTTCCATGATGGCTCGACTGATTTGCATTCCCACCTATAGTGTATAAAAGTTCTCTTTTTGTCACATCATCACCAACACTTACTATCTTTTGCTTTTTTGATAAATGCCATTCTCAGTGGGGTGAGGTGATTGATATTGTGGGTTTGATTTGCATTTCCCCGATGGTTAGTGATGTTGAACATTTTTTCATATACTTGTTGGCCATTTGTATGTCTTCTTTTGAGAAATGTCCATTCAGGTCTCTTGCTCATTTTTCACTTGGGTTATTTGTTTTTTTATTGCTGTTTTGAGTTCTTTATATATTTCAATTATTAATCTTTTGTCAGGTAGATAGTTTTTAAATAGTTTCTCCCATTCTATAGATTGTCTCTTCACTTTGTTGTTTGTTTTCTTTGCTGTGCAGAAGATTTTTAGTTTGATGTAGTCCCAGTTATCTGTTTTATTACCTGTGCTCTTGAGGTCTTGTCCAAAAAAAATCCTTTCCCAGACCAAAGTCATAAAGCATTTTCCCATTTTCTTCTAATAGTTCCACAGTTTCAGGTCTTACATTGAAGTCTTTAATCCATTTTGAGTTAATTTTTGTGTATGGTTGAGAGATAAGCATTCATTTTCATTCTTCTGCATGTGGATATCCAGTTTCCCCAGTAACATTTACACTTTACCCATTGTGTCAAATCAGTTGAGTGTAAATACATGGATTCATTTCTGGCTGTTTTTTCCACTGGTTTATATGTCTGTTTTTATACCAGTACTATGCTGTTTTGATTACTGTAGCTTTGTAGTGTACTCTGAAGTCAGGTAGTGTGATCCTTCCAGCTTTGTTCTTTTTGCTTAAGATTCCCTTGACTATTTGGGGTCTCTTGTGGTTCCATGTGAACTTAGGATTATTTTTTCTATTTCTGTGAAGGATGCCATTGGTATTTTGATAAGGACTGTACTGATTCTGTACATCACTTGGGTAGTAAGTCACAAAGATTTAGATGTTTTAATTTGGAGAAATTTTATCTAGCACTTATATTTGTATAGCTAGGAGAGTTGTACTTTCATCTGAAATACATTAAGGATAGTGAGATGCCATTAGTGTATTTATGGAATTAGGTTTATGTTAGAATTCTTTAGGTATAGTTTGACCATTTTTCAAACCCACAATAACTATTTTAGTGAAGTAAAATGTTAATTTAACAAATATTTCTCTAATGCCTATTCTGATAGTCAGCGGCCTGCTTAGGTGCAAATCCTGTCTGTGTCTCTTAGAAGCTGTGTGACCTTGATAGATTGTTAAGGTTCTGTTTCTGTAAAATGCAGATAATAGTACCTGTCTCATAAGTTGTTGTGAGGATTAAATAAAGTAGTGTGCAAAAGGAAACACTTAGCAGAGTGTTCAATAAATGTAAACTTTTAGTTATTGATATCTGAGCCTCTCACTGCAGAAACAGTGAAAGGTGGGTGTTATTTGATGTTAAGGAATCTACAGTTTGGTAGACTGATCTTAAACAATTGTAATTCATCCTGAAAAATGCCTTAATGCAGGTATAAAAGGGCCAGTGGAAGCATCAAACACATGTGCAGAACTGCAGGTTGTCAAGGAAGCCTTCAAGGGAGGAGATGGTGTTGATGTCAAGACCTGATGGATGAAAATAGCTCATGGGAGAGCTCAAGAGTGTGACCAGGAGTTAGGAATTTCAATGGAAAATGGAATCTTTGTGATGCCCTCCACATGTCATTAGATGTTAAATTCTAGAGTGAAGTTTGATATGATTATTAACTACTAAGTATATTCCCAAATATTTAAGGTTAAGATCTTACTAAAATAATGAATTATAAAGCCATTAATATTTGGAATTTTTATGTAATCGTTATTTGATTATGGTACTTTTTTTTGGCTACAGATATTAACCAGTAACATTCTAATTTATCATTTTAATGGGAAGTCGTGGCTTTTTTTCTCCCTGTAACAATACTAAAAATACATTTTAAGGCTATGTGATGTAGAGTTTTATTAGAGACATTATTTTTCTGTTTACTCTCCTTTTCTGTATTGTACAGAATTTTGTCCCCTTCTATATTGTATTTTAAATTTGGAACCTACTGATGTATAGGCATTTCACTTACTATCTTGAGGGATTTTTCCAGATAAAACAGAAATTTAGTAATGTAGCTTCTGTCAGTATAAAAGCAGAGCAGCTCATTTCCTTTGTACCATTCTGAAAATCATACCAGAATAGAATAGCTTGTTTCTGTATTATTTTGTGTACTCATTGACATTGTCTTTTTTGTGAGCATCCTTCACCCCACATGGAACCCTAACAATGAAAATTTACTTGTGTGTATATAGGGATATTATCCCTTTTGATCATTTAAATAGATATGGATAGTGATAGAAATCTGTGTGTATGTGTTTTTTTTAAGGTATTGCCATCAGAGAGTCGGCAAAGGTAGTTGACCAAGCCCAAAGGAGAGTGTTGAGGGGAGTTGATGACCTTGACTTTTTCATAGGAGATGAAGCCATCGATAAACCTACGTATGCTACAAAGGTAAATGTCCGACGGGTGTTTGCTTCTCTAAGTGTAGAGCAGTAGGATGAGTAATGCAAAATGGTCATCTAGAAGTTGTATTTGTGAGTTGTGGAATGTGTTTCTATTATGTTTGAATATAGGTGGTGGTGGTGGTTGGTTTTTGAATGGGGGTGTTTTTGATTGGAGAATTAAGGGAATTAACAGATCCCTGGAATGCAGAATAGACTCAGGAAACACCAGGTCACACATGAAAGCAAGATCCCCCCCTCTGGAAAATTGTTGACAGGTTGACTAACCTGTCAGTTGAGGGAAAATTGCAGATTGGTTAATTAAAAAGAAACACTAATATTATTTAAGCAGACTTTTTTTTTTTTTTTGAGACGGTGTCTTGCTGTGTTGCCCAGGCTGGAGTGCAGTGGCCGGATCTCAGCTCACTGCAAGCTCCGCCTCCCGGGTTTACGCCATTCTCCTGCCTCAGCCTCC